GACTGTGGTTTGAGTCCTGGACCCGGTGGCTTAAAACACACTGGGTGTGTGTGCATGTGTGCCCAACATCCCGAGAAGAGGATGGAGAAGGGATTGCTGCATGGCCATCCCCCTCCTGGGAGGCAGGGGAGAAGGTGATTTCTCACTTTCTGTCTCTCTCTCTCTCTGGCAAGCGCATGTTACCCTATAGCAAAACTCTCTTTCTAAAACAAAACAAAACAAAACAAAACAAAACAAAAACAACATTTTACCCGTTTCTTATACCGAGCCCCAGCGGGTGTTAGTGTCCCCATTTTGCATGTGAGATAGTCGATGCACAGAGAATTAAGTAACTGCCTGAGAAGACATTAGCTAGTAAGTGGCTGAGACTAGAGTTGGATCCAAGCAGACTGAACTGCAGCTCCTCTGCCTCCTAGGATAGGGTGGCAAAAAAAGTGGCTATTTCTTTTCTCAAGAAATGAACCAATTTCCTAAAAATGAAAATTGACCTGGTAACCAGTTTTAACGAGAGTTAACAGTGACAAGAATGAGAGATACCATGTTCATCAGTAAGCACAATATAAACGTTGCTTCTCACCCACTGTTTAGATGTGGTGTGAGTTGTTAACAGGGAGACAAATTCATCTGTCAAGGTCTCTTCACCTTCCTGAGAGAGTCTTCAAAGTTATCTTCAAAGATGCCCCGTCTCTCAGGCTCTGTGCGGTCCGCCTAGCTTCCTTTGAGAGTAAGTGAAGGGTTAAACTTCGGGACTCTCTTTCTTGGCTGGTTAATGAGGGCATGGGGCCTCCTGTCTATAATTAAGAAAGGAGCCCCAGGGTTTACTGGAGAGGTGTGCATAGGCTGTAATGGGTGGAGAGGTAGGAGGGCGTTTCCTCCCACAGTTTCTAAACTCACAGAGCTCCATCCCAGACTCAGACCCGATTTGGAATATCTCTAGGAGGCAAGGAGGACCAGATATTGTGGGACTGAGAGTCCACCTCTCCCAGGATTCTGACTTACTAACCTTCCCTTTTCATCTTTGAAAAGCTCTTTGTTTTGGCTGGCACAAGTGCAGTGGTGTTTACACTAATTGGTCACAGCCAGTTACAGATTCCTTTGGGACTGGCAGGTGGTTAAGGGCGCTGGACTCCCACATGATTGACCACAGTTCGAGTCCCAGACCTGGCGGCTTGCTTCTCTCTCTCTCACTCACTCTGCCCCTCTCTAGTCAAATTAAAAAAATAAAATAAAATAATTATTGAAAAAAAAGAAAAGCTCTTTGGGATAAGTTTTTGCTGTAGGGTGTGTGCGCTTGCTGGAGAGATAGAAAGAGAGAAATCACCTCCCCAGGAGGCATGGCTGTGCCGAAATCCCTTTTCCTCCATTCTCATTTCAGGATTTTGGGTACACATGCACATGTACCTGGAGTGAGTTTCAAGCCACTCGGTCTGGGGCTTGAATTGCAGTCGGCCACATGGGAGCCCAGCACCTTAACCACCACGTCACCTTCTAGCCCCTGAAAAGCTCTCTACCCAGAGGAAGTTTACAAAAGGAGGCTGCAGGTGGAAGTTGATGACTAGGGAAGGTTAGGAATCCCCACGTCTTCAGGAAACAGAATAAGTCTGTTCTTTCCATTCTGCTCCTAGACCAGGAGCCCATGAGGGAGACAGGTGAGTAAGTGCTCCTTGGTATTTCAAGGCTTCCCTTTTTATTCTTTGTATGGTTCTGGGAAATACCCAAGTAATTCTACTCTAAGGAGGCTCTTCTCAGGTCACACTGGCTGCCCCTAACTGGCCTATTTGTTGGGATCGGGTCCACATTCCTGAGGGAAGTGAAGGAGGCCTGGCCACATGGGCCCAGCCTTTCCTCAGGCCTGCTGCTCTTCCTTCGGGCAGTGGGCTTGAGGAGTTGCTGGCTGCTCCCTGTGGAGATACCACCTTCCTGCCCATCTGCCTAAACAGGAAGTCCTTTCTCCTCTCTCTTCATCAAATTCCTATTTATCTTTTAATAACAGAATTTGAAAATCACAAACCCGGTAGTTATTTATTTACATACACGTTGCACCTCTCCATCCTCTCTGGAGTACCGTCTCCTCCCAGGCAGAAATGCTTTACTATTTTGTATGTCAGCCCAGCACACAGCAAGCATTTGATACAGTGTTTGTTGGTAAGTGTAAATATGGACAGAAACGTGTGAGGAGACAAATGCTTCGTTGAACCCTTTGAAAGGCTGCAGTGTTTTCCTTGCTTCACAGAATGCTGATTTAATTTGTGGTAAAATTTTTTTTTTTTTGCCTTAGATACCGAGAATTTTTACAAATATTGATACAGACCAGCTGTCTGCTATGTCTTCCGAGTCTCCAGTGAGTTTCTTACTAGCCCACGTCTAGAAATATTTGTTGGAAAATGTGGAGAAGACTGGGACAGATGAGGTGCTTTAAAAACTTATGGTGTGTCATACATTTTAATAACAATCAGAATTTCTCTATAGAAAAGCTTAGGAAAAAAGTGGTGTCTCTAAAAACTTCATTTCTCTCTCTTTTTTAAAGAGATTTTTGCTATAGGACATGTGTGCTCACTGGAGAGACAGAGAAAGTGAGAAATCACCTCCCAGAGGGGATGGCCATACCACAATCCCTTCTCCTCTACTCTCCTCTCAGGAGTTTGGGCTCACATACATTCCTGCCTGTTGGGAGTTTCAAGCCACCGGGTCTGGGACTTGAACTGCGGTCAACCATGTGGGAGTCCGATGCCACACTACCCATTGTTCCCCACCCTTTTTAATCTCTAGGACTCCTCTTCCTTTTCCTTCATTTTCCTGGACACAAACAGTAACTTAGACCTTCTGAAGATGTCTGTTGGTTTTGAGCAAAATCCTGTTGCCTGCCATTTTGGGGACCCTGAGGGACCAGGCACCCTTTCCACTTAGTCTTTCTTTTTCTTTCTTTCTTTCTCTCTCTCTCTTTCTTGTTTTCTTTTTCTTTCTTTCTTTCTTTCTTTCTTTCTTTCTTTCTTTCTTTCTTTCTTTCTTTCTTTCTTTCTTTCTTTCTTTCTTTCTTTTTCTTTCTTCCTTCCTTCCTT